AAAAAAATTCCTTTTTCGAGATTTTCTGAGTACGGGGGGTAGATTATAGAAAGGGAAGGTATTAGCACCCTTTTTGTCCATAGTTTTCTACGGGCTCTTAGGTACTTGCTCATCATTTTCAAAATTGCTTTTGTGTGTTTGTGTGATTTGAAAAGTTTTTGTTTTGACTTCCATTTAACCCTTGCTTATGTCTTCAAGAGTGTTACGAAGTGTTTTTGAAAACTTTGTTTGTAAAGGAGTGTAAGTGTGAAAAAGTTTGTTTGGATTGAGCAAGTACTTAAGAGCTAATCTACCTACTCGAAAAAAGAATTGTTCTATGTTTTTTCCTTTAGACAGCGCTATCCTACTATTAGTGAGTAGGTAGCACCATCGTTGAAGTTTTAAGGGTCAATTCGAAAGGGACGTACGGTCACTAAAGCAATGTTAGGACGTCTTAGTAGTAACCCTAATGTCTTCATTCGAGGCAACAATTCTGAGGCAACCTTTCCGAGGCAACTTTCATCTTTGAGACAAAAGAGCGACCACTAAAACTTCTTATACTCAATGATCGTTTACCGAAGGCAACCGAAGTGGGAGTATACCCCCAAGAGTGCGCATGTGTGAGTGATTCAATTTCAAGTTTATTATCTTTGCACATTTAGGGTTAGCTAACCGTTTTAAAGTTAATCATACATTCTTGTCATGCATCCCTATTATTCATACATCTAACAGTTAATATTTTGCGGAATTTAAAGTGCGGGAAGTAAAGCTACACTATTACAAGGCTTCGGGTATTTACATAGCCAAAAACAAACCCGTAAAAAAAGATAAATGAAAGTAAAAGATCAAAATTAATCTATTACAACTTGTGAGCAATTACATTAATATGGTAAAAATAAATAATGAGGCGCGCGCGACGAAATTAAGAACGAGAGAGAACTTAGGGTTTTGACCCCTTCTAACCTAATTGAAAGAAAATTTGTTTTTTTGTTGTTTTTAACTATTTTTAAGAAAAAGAATTAGGTTTTTTAAATTAAATACAAAATTAATTAGCTAATTAAATTAATTAAAGAAAATAATTATTTAACCTAATTTTGTGTTTTTGGTTATTTTTAAGAAAAAGAAAATAGAATTTTAAATTTAGACAAACCCTAATTTCTAATTGTTTTTAAGTTATTTACAAAAAGAATTTAAGTTACCCTAGAAATTAAATAATTTAACTAAATTAATTAATTTTTGACAAAAAATAAACCTAAATCTAATTGTATGAAAATATTATTTTTGTGATTTTTTGATAAAAAGAAAAATTAATTTGTGTTAGTGAAATAATTAAATAAATTAATTGAGAAAAATATAAAAAGAAAATAGAAAGAGATTGGGCCTGCTTTGTAAGTGATTTGAGGGGTGTTAACAGTAAATTCTGGGCCCAAAACAGCTGGTCCACGTTGACTTCCAGAATCCCATGCATTGTTTGACTAAGATGCATGATGGACCCTTCAATAGTGGCCTTTAGATCTGGATGATTGGTGATCTGATGGTTAGGAGATGATGCCCCATGGTGGTCTTCATGCCTTGTGGATCATGGAATCTATAGAGAGAATTCAAGAAAAATGCAAATGTTGGAGGCAGGGGTCGAACCCCTGACCTCAAGCTCTCCAATGCCTTAGCGCTTACCTAGCAACCACTAGGCCAATTGGTTCAGTTGATTATTAAATGAAACAAAAATAACAAAAAGAATAAAATAACACTAGCTGTAAAACACGCGCGTGAATTCAAATGCACGAATGGGATGGAGCCACGTATGTCATCTTCTTCCTCTCTCCGTTGGTAAAAGTCACATACTTTTACCTACAGCCATTTGTCCATAGCTACAGACCCTGCCACTCTTAAAATCAAACACAAGCGAGATAAATAACTTTTAAGGCCATGAATCAACTCGTTTGGACCTTCTGAGCGTGATGGTGCCCCTTTCATGGCCCAATTTCACCTGTACATAAAGATCCTAAATCGAGCCAAAAAAACCTAGCAATGGTGAAATCTCATACAGTCCATAAAAATGCAATTAAACGTTCCAGATAGCTTGCAAATGTGATGGTGAATAAGAATATGTGATTAGAATGTGATGAATATGCAAGAATAAAAAGATTCAGTTTTGGAAATATGGGCAAACCGTGGGAGTCGTGGGGGAGAATTCTGGGCACTAGCGCGCTTGTTTTTGATTGGTAATGCTTGTTTACACTCCCAGGAAGCGATTGGGATGGTCAGGAAGCCCTGGAATTGCCTGGAACTATGAATTCGACTCAGCACTTTTTGTGTTTTTTTCAAGTTTGCTCTGACTTCTCACGCCTCTCTAACCTCTTGTTCTAGGTCTGCAATTGTTCAATATATATCAATGATTGAATTAGGGTTGAAAACCCGATCTCAATCTTTCTCCATTATAGCTTTTGATTTGGATTTTATTCACTTGAAGATCTTTCTAAAAATAGGTCAAACTCAATCTTTTTGTACACACAAAGGCCTTGCACGAATTCAATCACTTGCCAACTGGACATAAGACCTAAAACATGTACAAAATCTTGAGATTTCAATGTTTTGGATTTTTCCATGATTTGTTTTAATTTAAATTGATTTAATTCAAATAAAAATCAAAATAAATAATAAAAACAAGATGTTGCACAAAGAGCTCTATGGTCTCAAGCAGACACCTAGGGCGTGGAACAAGAAGATCAAATCATACTTAGTTGAATTGGGATTTATCAAATTCGAATCAGAGTATGGTGTCTATGTTCAGATTGTAGCATAAGATATAACAATCATCTGCTTATATGTCGGTGACTTGCTGGTAATTGGAAATAGCTTAGAGAAGTTGTCAAAGTTCAAAGAGCTGATGATGAAGGAATTCGAAATGTCGGATCTGGGAAAATTGTCTTATTTCCTAGGCATGGAATTTCAAATGTCGAAGCAAGGTATGGTGTTACATCAAAGGAAGTATATCAAATAAATACTTAAGAGATTCAGAATGGATGATTCCAATCTTGCATCCTCGCCTATCGAACCAAATGTGAAATTGGAGAAGAATAGAGAGGAAGACAAAGTCGATGTAACTTGTTCAAGCAAATTGTGGGATCTCTGAGATATGCGTGCAACAGTCAACCTAATATAGGTTTTGCAATGGGATTAGTGAGCAGATACATGAGTGAACCAAGAGTGTCACACATGAAGGCTGCAAGAAAAATCCTAAGATATTTAAAAGAATCAATAAATTGTGGAATATTATTTTGATGAGACTCTGAAAGCAAAGAAGCAGCAGTTAATTATTTTTCAGATGTTGGTTGGTGTGGAGATAAGTAATATCGAAGAAGCACAACTGGATATTTCTTTCAAGTATTTGGTGTCTCAATCTCATGGTGTTTGAAGAAGCAACCTGTGGTGGCATTGTCATCGTGTGAAGCTGAATATATAGTAGGATCTTATGCTTCATGTCAAACAATTTGGATCAGACATGTATTTGAAGAAATAAAGATAGAAGTGAAGAAACTTCATGTGTTGCAAATTGACAACAAGTCAACCATAAACCTGGCGAAGAATCCAGTTATGCATGGAATAAGTAAACATATCGAAGCAAGGTTTCACTTCTTAAGGGAAAAGGTAAATTGAGGTGAACTTGAAGTAAGACATTGCTCGAGTGAAGCACAGTAAGTCGATATTTTCACCAAAGAATTGAATTTGAGAAAGAAATTAGGAATAGTTCAGATTGACTATTTTTAGAGTATGTTCGACGGCTTGGATTATGGAGGTGTGTTGAAATATTAAATTAGATTTATTAAAATATTAGATTGAATTTGATTAGATTTAATATTTAAATATAATTCAAATTATATAGATCAAAACTCAATTAAGGTTGTATATAAATAGTCTTAGTCTGTATCATTATTTGTACAATTCAATAATATAAATTCTTATTTCCTTAATATCTCTATTCTCTTTCACTAAAAGTGTCTCACACATTAATAATTTGTTGATTTATGTTGAGAGGATTATACTTAATCCTTTTCGCTGACATAATGACTTTACCACAAATCTTTCACATATAGAATCATACATTTTATTATCATTGGAAGTAATGTAGCTGCATTCGTTCTTCGTAAAATTTTTGAAGTAACCAAATCCAACTATAATAATTGGGTCTTTAACTTTTTGTTACAAATGTAAGACCTCTAAGCACCTGCAACATCTACTCTTTAAGAACGATTACCTTCCTAAAGTGGCAGTGAGGTGTGATGTGTCAATGCCCCACTACTATAATGACACATAATTCTAGAAGGGTAGAATTTGTTAATTTTTCTATTAACATAATATTCTTTATAAGGTCTTTGAAAGTATTGTATATTGTCATTCGAATCCATAGAGAATAAATTTTAGTTTTAGGAGTTTGTGCAAAGTGCCCTCTTAAGATTTTAATTTGATCGTGTAACTTAGGACATTCTTGACAATCCTATTATCCACCCTATCATATGAAAGTATAGGAGACTTAAACTTTTTTTATTAACAATTGATTCATGCTATGCTTTTTGAGATTATAAGACCTCTTTAAGTTCATACGTTTTCCCTTCAATTTTATAAAAAGTTATATTTTGGGAGGCTATTTTCTTAAAAAGCACTACGGTATATCTCTTGAATGCGTTGTAAAATTCATCTAAAAAATAAAATTGGAATTTGGATCACTTCCATCACAAGTGTTAACTTCCCTAACTACCCTTCGGCCTAAGCATGCCATGAAACAAAAGTGTTCTATCTCATACTCATATACTCATAGACATCTGAGTTGCTTGAGGAGGAAGGTTCATAATCTTAATACTTGAAAAAGATGATTTTTTTAAAAAGGATAAAACAGGCAAAGATCTCTTCACACAGAAACAAGGGTAGCAAAATTGTAAAATTCATGCATGATAAAAAATCTAAAGAGAGTCTACAACATAAATAAGGTAGGTGCAATAATCAAAACATCAGACATAAATTATTTAATCTTCGTCCTCCTCATCTCCATCACCGCCAGAAGCCTTCTTAGCTGCAGCCTTAAGGTTCTTTCGCTTCACGCGACCAGGACGACCACCACCAAGAGGACTCGTGAGTGAGAAGTCAATGTGCTTCTGTGAATCAACCCTCACCATGAATGATGGAATGTTCACCACCTGTCTCCCAACCCTGACAGAAACAAAAAAAGACATCATCATCATCATCAATTCACAAACATTACATTATTCAAAACATCCATAGTTAGGACAAAATTAAAGACATAATGGGACCAATAGGCATACAAAAAATATGAAGAATATAAAATGAAGATCCATTCGTGATATAAATAAGATATAGAAATTCATTCAAAATTCCCTTGATTTCTAGAGTACTGAATGATATCACTTCTGCATAATAACATGAAATATGTTGAAAACCAATGCTACTCTAACAGCAGCTATAAAATAGCTATAATATGTGGAAGATATTACAGAAATAGTTCAAAAAGAAGCAAGAAGTACACTAGCTTAAGTTACCAGATCACAAAGGTTCCAATTACTAGCAATTATGGGGCAGTAGACATAAATAATGTGTTGAATTAAGAGAACAAGAAAAGACTAGTTGAGTCTTATATAATAATATCATGTTTTCCAACTCAAAGTAAAAATACAAACAAACGACCATCAGCCAATCGCGAATTATGTTAAATAGGCACAAAACACAAAAGCAAAAAATATAACAAAGCAAACCCAACAATGTTAGAGACAACCAATAATATAAACATAACCTACATCAAAAAAAACATGTAGTAAAATATATTGGTAAAACAATCAAATCTTTCACACAACATTGACCAAGGAGAATGTTTACAAAATGTCACATATTGAAAAACAAATCCAGATGACAATTCGAAACAAACCGAACAATCTAACAAATGACAAAAGTTTAACAATTTAACAACAGTAAATTGAATAGAAAATTTCACAATGCAAACCATGATATCTACATCAATCAGTTCCAAGCACTACTGATAAAAACCAGAAATCTAAATTCTACATAAAGTTTGATGCGACCAAATTACCTGATGTGCCTTTGCCTAATAAGAACCCTAGCATGATGGATGGACTTAGCCATGCCAGATTTGAAGACAAGTGTCTGAAGACGGCGCTCGAGAAAGTTCTCAACAGTGAGAGCCAAGACATAATCGAGCTTGTTCTGAGTCTCATCAAGGAGCCCGTAACGAAACATTCTCCGCAAAAGAGCTTCACCTTCAAAGATCCGGCGAGGATTCTTCTCATCCAGTGTCAAGAGATTCCTTGCATTGTTACGGATACGGCTCAGAGCGTACTGAACCCTCCACAGCTCTCTCTTGCACCGAAGTCCGTACTCTCCCACCAGCTTCAACTCTGCGTCCAATCGCTCCTTCTCGTATGGACGACGAGGCTTCTTGAACGTTTTCCCATCTGTTCAAGAATGAAAAGATGTGTAAATTCAACAATAGTTCGAATGAAATGAAAAATTAAACAAATAAATGAATAGATATGGAGGAATCAGGATCAGGGAATATGATACTAACAGTTCCGGTAAAACGAAACATGCACCATAGCTGCTTGTCTCGCCGCCGGTTCTCTCTGGTAGGTTTTAGCTTTTGTTTCTCTGAGTTTACGGTATGACAAAACCCTTATATTTTGTGGACTGGGTATTTCTCGTTAAAGGCCCATTTATATGTAATATGCTACTTTTTCAAAGGAGCTGCTACTTGCACCTCTCCTGTTACCAGAAAAAAAAAAGGTACGTATTTTAAAATTATACATGTGGGGGGATCCCCTAGCATTCAAATAGTTATAACATTTTATCCTCAAACCTGTCACGTTACATCTGGAAACTTCAATTTTTCATAATTATAAATATACCCTTCACATTATTTAGATTTCAAAATTTCACATTTTGTTAAAAAAAAAATCTTTAAAAAATTAAAAATCTGATAGTTATTTCAAATATCTGATATCACAATTTTCGCAAGAGTGAGTTTTAGAAAATTTTGTGTAATTAATCATCTTTTTCAATTTTAAAATTCTGATATCTGATATGTGATGTCGAAGGAGATGTCACGACACAAATATCTGAGGACAATATAAAATGCAATAATATAAAAGCAGTAAAAACACAAGACATTGTTAACTTAGTTCAGTGTACAACAACACCTACTCTGGAGGTTACCAAGTCAGGGATAAGTCCACTAAATAGTATCAATTCATAGACCCTCAGTAAACAACCAGTTTACGATCTAATCACTTAATCACTATTCGTCATATACTTCTACCTAAGACACACCTAAGTATGAGATCCTCCTCAAATCCCTTCAATCACTATCAGTGAAAAACAACAGAATTATTAAGTTTGAAAAACTTCAATCATTCAATATTTAAAAGCTTATGAATGATCAACAATTTACAACTCAACTAACAAATTACAACTCAAGTATTGAAACAATACTAGAGTGTATTACAATTAACAAATTCAGACTTTTAAACACAAAGAATATATTTTTCTTCAATTGATGTTGTCGTACGAATAAGGTTGCAAGTCCTTATAAAGGCGCAACAGCTTCTTTATGGGCTTGGGCTGAAAAATAAATATTGTAATATATTGAATCCCTTGAATATCTCCATGAAAGTGGGCCAAGATATAATCCATAAAGATAAGACATATCGAAAAATATTCCTCCATATTTTTCGCAAGTTATAAATCACAAAAACCTGAATAAGGCGCGCTTAAAAACAGGAAACAGAAAATCTAAAAAACACGTTCAAATCAAAAGGCAGAAGTTTAAACATCTGCTTTGACGTCATTCAAAATCAGTTGAGATGATTTACTTCAAATGTCAAGACATTAAGCAAAACATTACCAACACATTGTTTTACCAAAATTGCTGCCAACAAAAACTTACAAACTCCCTCTTTGGCAAATTTTGGTTAAAACATTATTTGAGCATATTATCAGAGCAGCAGCACAAGCAAAAGAAACTCAGTTAACAGTTAGAAGTGGAAGATGGCAGGGCATCTTTTGAGACATGAAGCTCCCCTTCAAACTTACCAGTCAGTAGACAGTCAGTCAGTCAGTTTCTCTCCCCCTTTTTAGACATAATATGCTAAATAAACATGCATTCAAGAGAGCAGTAGAAAATAAGAGTACAGAACAAAATATCCAATTATTAAGCACATACAAGTGCTAAAGAAAAAGAACGTAGGAATCATAACCCAAAAGAAAAAACAAAAAGAAGGCACCAACACAGAGTCTAACTGTCTTCAGGACCAGTAAACTTGGCAACTTCAGAACTTCCTTCATTATCAGAATCTCCTCCTTCGGTACCCACTATATCATCAGGATTGTTATCCTTCTGCAGCTCCTTGATCAGCTTTTCAAATTTTAGTTTTCTTACTGAGCTAAATCTAATTACCTCATCAAGTTCTTTGCAGGCTTCCATTAACTCAGTAATCATATCATCCTTGCTTGAGGTCTTGTTTTCAGAGGATGCAGATGTCAAAACAATGTCTGCGACATGTTTACCTGAAAACAACTTGAAGTGAAGGAACAAGACAGACTCCGTTTTGCAAACTACATCAGTGCCACACAAAATTCCAGGATGTTGATTTAGAATAATTCCACAAATAAGAGATGGAAAGGCAATAGGCATCTTGATAGCACAGGTTCCTACATTCTTTACAGTCTGTTCAAAAATGTAAGCACCATAATCAAACAACTTCTTATTTCCAACAACATAGATAAATTTTCCTAAACCAATTGTTTTGTTTGAGGTATGATTGGTAGGAACCCATTTGGCAGCTCCAATTCTATGCAGGATAGCATATTTCACCCTTAACTTACTAACATGAAGCTTATTCTTCATAGGCCAATCACTCACTTGGTTTGCAGTGATGGCTTTGCGCACTTGATTATCAGTCACTTCCAAGTCACAGTAATCATCTTCAGGCCTACCTAGATATCTATTGATGACAACAAGGGAAAATTCAACACATCTACCTCTAACAAACACCTTCATATATTCCTTACTTCTGTGATCAGCACAATCTATAGGAATATTAAAAATAAATTCTCTTACAAGAGTTTCATAACAATTTGTGAACTTGGTGAAAGACTTCACCAAGCCAGGTGTTGTATCCCAAAATTTTCCCTCTCATTTATCAAATAATCTCTCACAAGATATTCTTTGGTTCAAGACTGCACAAGGGTTGATCAGCTCAAGACACCTCCTTAAGCACTGATGATTGAAAATTAGGGTTTGAGATTGCAGAAGGACAAATGGAATTTTAATGCCCCGTGTGACTTTTATGGATCATTTTGGACTCTCAAGTTTGCTCATGTCAAGTTTCAAGTCTTGGATCACATTTTTGCTCTGTCAATTGATCAGTTGACCTAAAATTAGCTATATTAGGAAAAAGTTAATTGTGGTTAATTTACAGTCAAATTTCATAATTTTTTATCCATATCAACATCATGAACTCATATATGTCATTTTTTCAAGTTTGGATCATAATTCCTCAAGAAATTGGATCAGATCATCAAAAGGGCAAAATGGTCAAAATTAGGGTTTTGACTAAGAAGGTGCAATTTCTGATTTTTGACTTAGCAAATGATTGATTCGTTTGAGACATGATCTCAAGGATTCAAATTCATCATTTTGACCTAATGTAATAGCTCAAAACATTGCTCAAGATCAATTGATTGACAGATGAATTTTCAGTCAACTGATCAAAAGTCAATTGTACACTGAAAAGTCAAACTTTGACTTTTTAGTCAAAATCAAGTGTCAAAGATCACAATTCATCAAAACATGTCAAAATATGAAACTTATTCATCAAGAAATCGAAAAGTCAAGATTTCATTTTGAAAAGTCAAAATTTCTAAACTTAGAAATTTTTCTAAGTGTTGGAAATTCATATTTTTTCACAACTTTGAGCAAAATTTTCACCATGATGAAAGATGATTCAAAGGAAACTTTCAACATGAAAGTTGTAGATATAAATAAGATCTAAAACATTATATAACATAACTTCTCCTAGAAATTCATGGATTTCAAGTTATGATTTTGTGAATACATGTTCATGAAACTTAGAAACTTAGTGAAATTTTGCCTTAGTTTAGGCAGGATTTTGACCTAACTTCATGGAAAAATTTCACATGGTTCCAAGATGAATTTTCAAAAATGTACAACATATAGGTTTTAGAGGATTATAAAAGCTTTCCAAAATGTCCAAGAACTCATTGAGATCATGTTTGAGCAAGGAGAATCGAAGGCAAGAAGTTAGGGTTTTCAAACTTGAATTACAGGTCATTTTGTGAAGAACACATGAACCAAATCCATGCTAGGCTGCATAATATTTGCTTTGAAGGCCTCGAACTTGTTTGACACTCCATAATTAATGTTTTGCACAGCTGCTAGAAGCTTTAATTCAAGCATTCAATGCATTGCCCATGCTTAATACCATTTTAGGAAGAAAGGCAACATTATCATTTTGGAAAAGTGGCTTTATGCATAAAGTCCACTCTTCTTGAGCCTCTAACTTGTTTTTTCAGCACACACTCAACATATAAAGTCAGATAAACATGTTTAAAGTTTGTAACCACTCTAGACAGCCTTGTATTATGCATTGGGACAATGTGTAGCTTGCTTCAAAAACAAGAAAAAGAGCCATAACTTGTGATTTTTGAATTCTGATCAAGGACAAGTCTCCAAACTTGTTGCTTATGAATAGAGGCACTATTTGTGAGCTATAATACGAGAAAAAAGACCCTGAAACACTTCCAAACTTCCTCAAATCAAAAATTGCTCAAAAACTCCATTGTTGCATAATTTCTGACTTTGAACTTCAAACTTCCATTTCCCTCGTGCGTTCTTTAGCCTTTTAATTCCTAAAGCTTCCTTGCATCAAACATAAACCATCCTTGTCCGTGTTACACGACTGTAACTCCATTTCCATCATCATCCATAGCCAAAAACATAGCACTGCACATTGACTTCTCCAGGCCATTTCAGCCACTCTCAACTCAAGCTAAGCGTTGAATTAGCTTCCTAGAGACTCAAGGAAGCTAACCTGATCATTGCAGCACCTTGAATCAAGCTCAAACTCATTTCACAATTTCCAATTTTGAGGTATTTTCCTTGAACTTCTATCTTCTCATTTAGGCATTGTTAGGCTTGCATTTGTGAAGATAAAATATAGACATCATTACCCTGAAACTATACATGTCCATAGATTTCATTTATGTTGCTTGATTAGGGAGAATTTTGAGTTTAAACCTCTGAAAATATTTAGGTCAGAATTTGGTACTGTTCAAAATTCATGCTCATCTTTGAGAATTAGCTTAAGTTATTTACGTAATCATAATCATGAGGAAATTTCTAACAAGTTTGATGTTGGAAGTTTTGTGAATGGATGAGAAATGAATGAGTTACAGGTTCTCTGGCTGGAGGTTGAAGATGAAGTTCATTCAGGACTTGATTTATATTATATATTTGTTGTTTTGTTTATATGAACGAATGTATAGCCACCCGGTAAATCGCGCGCCTGTTAACCTTTGG